CTGACTCTGGGCAGAAGCTTCTGCCCCTGTGCCGTGTCCAGTGGGCACCCCCTCCAGCCTCCCTACCTACCAGAGCAGCAAGGGTTCCCGCAGGCTCTGCTCTCAGCTGGGCCCCAGCTGGGGCATTTGAACAAACAGAAGCACAAAGTCCCCTCCTGTGAGTGTCCCGGACCTCTCCCAGGCTGCTCTCGCCTGCTCTCCTCATTCCTGCTGTCCCAGTGTCCATGCCCAGCACAAGGTGGCAGGCGTGGGGAGGAAGATACAGTACCACCCAGGATGTCCACAGATCTAGCTACAAACCCAGCTTTTATTAGTGAATGAAAATGGGCCTCACTTTCCTCATCTGCAAAATAGGAAGAACAGAGCCACACAGGGTGTTTGAGTGAAGAGAGAGAGTTGCTTGTTGGGGTCGTCTCTGTATTCTCTCTGAGCTGAGGTTGGGCTTGTTGGGCGGTTCCCAGGTCAGGGCACAGAGGCACTTGGGACAGGCACCTGCTCTGCCCTTGGGAGGCTGAAGAGTCTCTGGGAAGCTCAGAGACCCCAGCCCTTGGTGAGGTGTGCAGACCCCACCCTGCAATGGGTGGAGAGGGGAAGGCTGGGGAGGATGGACACCTGATTTTTCCAGAGTCAGCCTGGCTCAAGATGGAGAGGCTGAGGCTGGAGAGGCTAAGGTGTACCCTGCCTCTGTTGGACAGTGATCAGAGGAAAGGCACCTGGGCTGAGGGTGAGTGGACAGGTGGACTGCAGGCTCAGAGGTTTCACTCTACCTGACTCCTGCTCCTGGATGGCTGGTGAATGGAGGCCCAGACCTGAGAGCACTGCCCTGCACCCTGAGGCAGGGCCTCTGCACCCCTAGGAATTGTGGCTGCTTCTCTAGAGGGCCCTGGTCCCCATGTTTGCAGATTGCCCAGCAGCTCTCCAAGCCCCTTGGATTCTTTAGCTGAGACTGGAGGCCACCAGTGCTGATTTCTGGTTGCTTCCTTGGACCTTCCAGAGGGCCAGGGATGTATTCCACAGAGACAGGGGTGTGTGTGTGTGTGTGTGTACATGTGTGCACAGAGGGTTATCTGGGACCTCCAGAAGTTGGGTTGTGTCTAGGCAGCCTGTCTCCTCTCGGAGATTTGCAAATTTTAGAATCAGTCTCCTTGCCCCTACCGTGAAATCTAATTTTTGAGTTTCAGCTGTAATTTCCTTGAGCTGCTCTTGATGCCAACTTGTGATTTGAAGTTCTTGCCTCCTAAGGTGCTAATGAAGTGCCTTCCCTTGCAGGGCACAGGCTCCCTCACGAGGAAGCGTGATTTGCTGGGCCCTAGAGAGCAGGCAAAGAGCTCCTGGAGCAGAGGGTGCACGTGTGGGAGCCCCAAACCTGGGGAGCTCCCAGCCTGTTTATTTCAGGTGGAAAAGCAATCCAGGCTCTGTGGCACAGGCTGTCACTCTGCAGGCAAGCAAGTGTCAGTGGTCCATGGCCTCTGGACAACCTGTGAGAAGAGGTTCACTTGGCTCCCACTGGAAGCTCTCGGGAATGGTCCCCTGTAGGTGCGGCGGTGGAGAGGCAGTGGGGATTACTCCTCTCTAGGCTCTTAAAGGCCAAAGATCCTCACATGGAGGATCAGCTCATGCTTCCACTGGTTGCTCCTGGCCCCCATCTCCCTGCCACCCTTGTCCAGCTAGGACCCAGGATGCCTGTGACCTCCAACCCCAGCCTACTCCTTCCCTTGTTTTTGTCTCCAGAAGCCTTTGTGCTGTGTCCCTGCTGTTTGTTGGCTTTGCTGCCGACCCTTCCTCCTGGGCCCAGGCAACACAATTTAGGTCCACAGAAAGGTGAGTTTTGCTCCTTGGCAATACAAAACTCTGATCTGGTGGCTACTTTTCCAGAAAAGTCCCTAAAACATGGCATGCAAATTCCAGAGCACTTGCTCATGCAGAAGAGCAGAAATGCAGGTTATAGGCAGTGTCCAATGCAGGGACAGAACTAAGATTGGGTCTAAATCTGAAGCCTCCCAATCTGCATGTTCCTCCATTCCACTCCAGTAGCACTGGAGCTGTTGCTACCGCTGCTCAAGTTGGTGGCCTCCTTGCTCTGTTACCAAAGTGCCAGCCTATCAGCTCATCAGCCTTTGTGAGGCCAAAGGTGCATGGATTCTGTAGGGAATGCTTTCTGAGGTCCGCTCTTGATCCTGTTATCTGTTCAGCTCTGTGATTCCCACAAGGAGAGCCAGCATTTAGCCAGGCCTCCCCACAGTGCATTCGGCAGTCTGCAGGAGACTGACCACCAGGGGGCGACCACACACAGCAAACCTGTGTACTCCAAGGGCTGGGAGAGCTGTGAGCCTCCACTTTCTACCCGAGGCCTACTTTTTTCAGAAAAGAAAGCAACAAAAGGGAAAATGCAGACCATGTTAGCAGGGGTGAGAACCCTAAGGGTGGGGTCATTTTCTGTTTTAAGGACAGGCACCCATCCTGTCCAATCTATCTCCCTCAAGTTGGTGTGGACATGTTGCAGAAAGGACAAGTGTGTGAAGTCTGGTTTTAGTGCATATTAAAATGAGTTTATTTACATAGTAACATGATGCCACAGAGTACACAGCAAAGTACCACAGCAAACCAAAGGGCGGCGCCACTGGTGACAGAGGGGACCTGTTATTGGTAGAGTTATACAACTCTATAATATGTAAGTGGAGAGGTGAAGCTCTAGAAAGAGCAAGAGGAACAAGATTTTCAAATATAGCATGTGGGCAGTGCCACGAAGAATTAGATTGGAATGAGGGCCGTCACGATTCAGATGGCAGACGTCTTGCTTCTGCCTTGATCTCACACCAAAATGCCCTGCATATCATCCACAGAAATCCCAGCCCCATGTTCACACACAGCACTCTTTAGTCGCCAAGGGAAGGGATGACCGCATAGTGCTGGAGCAGGCTTCCTGAAGCAGTGTGGATAACCTTCCTGCAAGGCCACCCTGAAGCCCCAGGGCCGGTGCAACATTCAAGTGATCGAGACTGCAGACACACACACTAGCCATACACTAACGGGCAAAGTGGATTTCCTGTACTAGAATAATATTCGTAGCAAAATATATACTTCTGTAGTTCTGCTAGGTTAAAAAATTTCCGACCTCTTTGGATTCCCTGAAACTTTCTTGATTTAAAAAAACCATGAGGATGTGTGGGATGGGGAAGAGACTGGGAGTCCTTAGGAGTGGGGTGTGGATGGGGTTTTGGAATGCAGGCCTCTGCAGCCCCCTGGGCAGGCAAAGCTTCCGGCAGTGGTGGATGCAGAGGTCTATGCTAATTTCCAACAGCTGTGGAGAGGAGCTGTGTAACAGCTGTATAGCACCTTGTACAGTCTGGGCACTTATAAATGCTAAATGGAAGGATGTTGAATGGTAAACACCTCTATAGGAAGGTTTATAAAAATGGTACAATGTGATAAGAAAATTCCCAAGAGTTCTTTAAACGAATCTACTGAAACTACCTTATGTCTTTAAAAAAACATTCAGCCCTCAGATGTTCCCATGCTGAGGTCTGGGCCACAGTCATGCTATGGTAAGGAGGAAGAGTTCCTTGTCCTTAGACACCAGGGACTTCACTATCTGCCTTGGGCTTCTACCATCATCATGTTTTCTCTTCTGATATACAAAATGGACTTCTTAAAGAGAATAGGTGCTTTTTTGAGGATGGACTTACTTTGCCAGCTGAATAGTTGATATGGAATGTACGTGGATTCCCCTCCCTGGTGTCTATCACACTTAGCCTCACCATCTAAGAAGCATCGGGACAGAAAGGCTTATTTCTTTGGTATCATTTCTGGCTAGAATCTAGCACCATGGCTCTTCTGGCTTCCTGCAGCAACCCCCCCCCCCGCCCCCCCGCCATGGCAGTGGTGCTGTGAGCATGGGCAGCTGGCTCTCCTGCACACCTGGGTGTGTTCACGTAGCAGCTTCATGGGCAGCCAGCCTGTTTGCACACTAGCCTGGACCAGAGCTTCAGTGCTATCTGTTGGCAAGGGGCATATGAAGCATGGCCAGGGAGCCCCATCTCCAAGAGTGCTCACAGTTTACACAGCTGCCATCACCTATAATACATGAGTGCAGGGTTCTGAATCCACCCAGCTTCTGGGACTAGCTTGTGTGTTTCCCAGATCACTTCTAGTAAAAGTAGGGGAAAATGCTAATTGCAGGTTTTTGGCAAAACCAAATGTCAGGTGACTTCCCAGTGCCAGAGTGTTCACAACTCATATTCAGGAAGCTGGGTACAATCCTTTCATGCTGTGCTACTCTGAGGGCCCCAAAGATCTTGCATGGAAAATTTTTAATACTAGAAACTTTGAAATACAATGATAGGTAGTTGTACTCCCAGAAATGTCCTTAGCATTTCTATAGGTTCAGATTTCTTGGCTTAAGAGTTTTACATGCTCACAGGCATACTCTTGAGTCTGGAAGCAGACCTGACCCCTGCCTATCTGACACTAAATGCTAGTGGATTTCACTCCCAGCCCCTCTGTAATTATGTAGTGTGGGTGCTGGGTCTCTTCTGCCCCTCACCCAAGTCACCCTCTGAGGGCACATCCTGAAAGGCATCACCACACTCCTGACCTCCAACACTAGCAGTCTCAGCTGATGGCCCCACTCACAGTTCTCACATTACAGCTCCACGGGTTGTACAGCCTTTCCCATTCCACAGCTGTTCATGCCTAGCTTCTGCAAGGCACATTACTGTACACGTTCTAGAGGGCTCTCCACCACCCTATCCTCTGCAGAACCCCACTCCTCCTGCCAGGACCATGCTGCACTCCAACAAGGCACTCTGTGATACATTCATGCCTGATCTCAGCTGCTCCAGTCATTGTCCTGTTCCCCAGGACCCAAAAGCATCAGATTGTTCATGCTTGTGCGGCTTTAGGAGTTTTGTAAGGGCTTAATTGTTCAAATGCTCAAGAGAAATGAAAGAATCCATAGTACAGACTAATAGAAAAGAAAAACATTTTCAATCAGTATTGAGGATAGTAACTTGATGTTATTTGAGAAAAAGTGCTATGCTATTTGCAATCTAAAACTCATATACATATATATGTATACAAAATGTGAGTGTAACTGTGTCTACAGAGGGTAGAATTTCCAGTTGATAAATGAATTCCAAGTTTCTATCAAAATTAAAATGGAAATAAGAAAAATTAAAATGGGAGTATAAAATATTCATAATGTTAGACAGTTTATTTTGGAAGAATACTCTGAGGACCATCAGATATGCGTCTTGCCTAGAAATAGTTTTTCTCTCTCCTGCTCTAACCTGTCCCACCCTCCTCCCTTCCCCTCAAGTTCCTTAGCCATCACCCGAGGAGGCTGGAGACCCTTCTAGACTCCTTGGCATGCATCCTCGGCCTTTCACAAATGTGGACATAAAACAGTAATAGACACATGTGGTATGAAGAGGTGCTCAGTTTCCCAGTGCTGTCAGACAACGGTAGTGGAGGTGCCCATCTTGTTCTACTGTAAAGACTGGATCCAAGTCATAGTGGGGGAAAAATGAAAAAATCAAAGATACCTAGGGATAGAACAAACACAAGGACCAGGGAACATTCTGCGTTAAATATGTAATCTCATTAAATAGTCAACATTCAAATTTACATGGGCAAGGCACCTTGAGAATGACATTGAGAAGGTATATCTCAATTTGCAAACCATTGGGGGTGCTGACATGGGCAGTGGTCTGTATGGCCAGTTCAGTGCATAATCAGGCAAGGAGTTATGTGCATGTGGCTCTGCGTGCTGAACCAAATGCCACCTGTCGGCAAGTTGGCCAAGCCACAGGACAGAGAGGCCGAGCTTGCCTTGCCCTCTGCACAGAGCAGGCAAGACTTTGGGGCCAACCAGCCCACCTTCCTGAGGTCCTGGAGGACAAGGGCCTCTTTCAGGTTGAACCTTGCAGATGTCCTTCTCTTTGAAAAAAAAAAAAAAAAAAAAGCACAATAAAATACATTCTTCACCTTTCTTGATCCTCTTTGAAATAGGTGAATCACATGAAAGGCTGTTAAACATATTAAAAGTTTAGAAATTTTCAAGGCCACTAATGTGCCATCTAAGTAATACTGCACAGTCCATCTTGGCTTTTAGGAAACCGCACAGGCAGCTGAGGACCCCGGGATCCCTCACTGACAATGCAGAGCACAGGTCTGTTAGCCCTGCCACAGAGGCTGCTCCCCAGGCCTGGCCTCCGCCCCAGCATGTGTGTGCACACACACATGGTGTGAGCAACTCTTGGGACTCAAAGCTGAAGTAAACAGATACTCACAGTTTTGAATAAACAAGCGGGCACATGCACACAAGGGAAGAAATACTCAGCTTGGCGCAAATAGGTGCAAAGGGAAGAGGGAGGGTTTCTGCAGATCTTGCTTCAGGTGAAGTTGCAACATAAACACTGTAATATACAGCTAAAAAATACATATAGAAATTGCACATACATCCATGGTAGAGGAGCATGGCTCCATGGTGAACAGTGCTCAGCCAGCCCTCAGCAGTTTTGCCTTCCTGCAAGGTGTCCTCTGAAGCCATTTGAGAGTCCTAGGAGCAATGTGCCGCTCAGGCCATGGCACAGACTCTCTGAAAGAGGCCAGCTGTTTCATCAGTGGCCATCTCCCCATCCTTTGCCTTCTGGTCATTGTAGTAGTCAGCCTCTCACACTGCCATCTAAGGAGACCTCAGAGATAAACAGACGGCCACTTCATTCAGGGCTGTGTCTACAGCATTTGGTCAACCAGTTAACCCTGGCTACCGATGGGAGGAAGGTGGCCAATCACTGCTCAGGGGAGAACTCGGATCTAGGCCCTACTGACCTTGGTGGCCAACACTGACGTTCTGACAGCAATCAAAGAATGGTGTTTTAAGCTCTGTTCCCTGGTGGCCCCTAGTGAATTGCACATGCAAGAAAATCATCTCCTGTCAGCTATTCATAAGCTCTCAACTTGCTGCACCCTGCTGAGGCACTGGCGACATCACTAAGGTCAGCTCTAAGATGGGCCACAAGTGGGGACAGAGTAGAGGTGAAGAACCACCAGGCAGAGGCAGCAGAGGGGAGGCTATTAAGGCCATCCTCCATGCAGTGCACACACTTACCGGTAATAGAAATGAAAAAGGTCTCTGACCCAAGGGATGGGAATCTCTTTTTCTTTCTACTGCCCGTTGCCATAGTCCTGGCAAACAAAACTGAGCTGATGCTAAGAATGGCAGGTCTGCCTGGTAAAGACTCCATTACTGGGCTGGGGATTTAGCTCAGTGGTTCTGGCACCTGTCTTGCAAGCGCAAGGTCCTGAGTTCGATCCCTGGTACCAAAAAAAAAAAAAAAGACTCCATTACTGACACCTAAGGAGAGGAGGCGGCTGCTTCAAAGGGTGACTGGATGCTGGCAGAGACTGGCTGTGTCTATTATAGTGAGAATAAATACTTGGTGCTAAAAGTCGGGTGCTCATCAGAATTATGCCAGAACTGAAGACAGCTCACTGAGCTCAGACCACAGGAGCAGACCCTTTATGGAGATGCATCTGCAATTTTCACCCCATGGAGGGGACTATGAGGATGGAAGGATCTCCAAGGGAAAGTAACTACGTGTTTGTGCAGCTGCATTTCTGTAAAGGTAAGACAGTTGCTCACTTGATCTGGAGCAGTGAATAACCTCCTGAATGGACTCATTTGTTCATGGACAGGGATGGAAGGGCTCTCTTCATCCTCTGAGTTCTGGGTGAGGACCAAGACAAGGAAGTGTGGGGTGACATGAAGAGGAGGAGATGTAATAAAAGCAGCATCCCAGCCACATTAACGGGGTTGCAGGATCTTCACAATACAGCTGAGGGAGTCTGTGGTGGCAAAAGCCAGGTACTGAGCACAAAGCCAGTCCTCAAGGCTGACGCCACCCTCCCTGTCCAGGGACTTCTCAGCAAACTTGATCATCAGCAGGGTCCTCTTGATGTCCAGCCAGTTTTGCAACAGGGCATTCCTCTGTGCCAGGCTCTGGGAGGCAGCGAAGGTCTGGAAGAGGTCTTCACGGGGGCCCCAGAGCAGACACTGTAGGATGCCTCTGGCATCAGATATGAGGATGCGCTCGGAAGGGTTGGGGTTCAGGAGGCAGCTGGCCAGCTGCTGTAGGCCCCGGGAGTAGGGGGAGCGGAGAGGAATTCGAGGCAGGTCTGTGCGTGTGTACTCCCTCTCCTTCAGCTCAGGGTTCTCATCGAAGGGGTTGGGCAGGTGCAGCATCTCATAAATGAGGATGCCTGTCTGGAACTCATCACACTTCTTATACTGAGTGGCCGTTATGATCTCTGGGGCGAGGCGGGACTGGTCCCGCAGGATCTCTGGGTCTACCAGATGGCTTTTCTGCTTGGCCTGAGAGAAGTTGCTCACAATAAGCCTTGTAGGACAGGAGGAGATGGGGCTGGGCTCTGCAGGCCCCAGGCCCTGGGTGGCTCCCCCAGGCTGGTGGTGGACAAGCAGCAGATTCTCTAGGCGTAGGTCGCAGTGCGTGACGTGGTAGGGCTTGAGGTGCTCAAGGCCAGAGCACAGCTGTAAGAGCAGCAGACACACCTGCCTCTCATATACATCTGGGCTTTTGCTGTGATGGGCCAGAGAGTCTCGCACAAAATCGGCTACAGTGAGATGGGGAACCTCTCTGGTGATGACTACAACATGGCTTCTCTGCTTCCTGTTCGTGACTCCCTGGCTCTCCTTTTGGGATGACTCAGTTTCACGGCAGGGCTCTGAGTTTCCCCCACCAGTTTCTCCTTTCACCTCTTCTTCCCTCTCTTCTATTTCATCCTCTGTCTTTTCAGGGGTATCAGGATCCTCCCAGGGAAGCAGACGGTTAGGAACTTCAGCAAGGAAATGACCACAGTCCTGCTGGATATTGAAGTGGACAGCCAGACTCTGCCGAACAGCTAAGCTGTGGTAATACTGCTGTGATTCTTTAGCTTTGCTCTTACAGATCTGAAAGAAGAAAGCATATAACACAATTTTATACTCACACTTTCATGCCCATGCTTACAACACATTGAGAATGATAAACTGGAAGGTGGCTTGTTAGGAACAAGTAGTTGTACAGTGAAGTCTTCAGAAAGGATCTTGGAAGCCCTGTGCCGACAGTGGCCACCACTTTTCATAGACATCTATACACAATGCAGTGCCCACCTCTCTGTTCCTTCCTCAGCCTTTAAGGTTGGCTGAGGTTCTCTTTAACAAATGGTTCTAGGGAAACTGTATGTTCACATGCAAAAGAATGAAAGTAGACTTTGACTAGTTACAAAATCACTTATCTCTCACCAGTTACATATACCAACTCAAAATAGATTAAATTCTTAAATGTAAGATCTGAAACTATGATACTACTAGAAGAAAACATAAAAGAAATGCTTCAGGACACTGGAATGGGCAAAAATATTTGGGAAAAGACCCCCAAAGCTCAGGTAACAAAAGCAAGTGTAGACAAATGGGATTATATTAAACTAAAAAGCTTCTGCATAGCAAAGTAAACAATCAACATAGTCAAGAGACAACCTCATATGGGAGAGAGTATTTGCAAACTACTACATCTGAGAAAGGGTTAATATCCAAAATACATAAGGAGCTCAAATAATTCAATAGCAAAAAACCACCAAATAATCCAATTTAAAAATGGACAATAGAGCTGGGTGTGGTGGTGCACACCTGTAATCTCAGCACTCAGGAGGCTGAGTCAGGAGGATTGCTGTGAGTTCAAGGCCAGCCTGAGCTATATAGGGAGTTCAATGCCAGCCTTAACTGCATAGTGAGACTCTGTTTCAAAAAAACCCTAGATAGGCATTTCTCAAAAAGCATACAAATGTTCAACATCACCATCAGGAAAAGGCAAATCAAAACCATATTTTCACCTCACTCCTATTAGAATTACCAAAATGACAAAGGATAAGTGCTGGTGAGGATGTGAGAAAAGGAAACACTTGGGAATGTAAATGAGCACAGCCATTATGGAAAGGAATATGGAGGGTTCTCAAATAATTAACACGAGAACGATTGTATGATTCAGCAGCCCCACTCCTGGGTAAGTATAAAAGGAAGTGGAATCAATAATGTGGAAGGGACACATGTACTCCATGTTCACTGCAGCACTATTCATGACAGCCAAGAAATGGAAATCTAAGTATTCATCAGCTGATGGATGGTATCTTAATTGCTTTCTCCATCAGTGAGACAAAATACCAACACCTCAAAGCAGGTGGTTTATTTTTGGCTCATCTTTTAGTCCATAGTCTGCTGACCCCAAGGCAGGACGGCATCCCACAGGGACCTGGTAGAGGAGAGCTGCTCAGGGCGGGGTCAGACAGGAAGCAGAGAGAATGAAAGGGAGGGCCGGGGAGGGGAGACACACCCTTGCAGACCACACCCGCAGTGACCCACCTCTTCTGACCAAGCCCTACCTCCTCAGAGCACCTTAGCTAGGAACTTAACAGTGAGACTAATCCACCAATTGGTGTGGCCCCTCCACGATCCAATCACCTCCCAAAAGCTCTGCTGTGATTCACGAGGCTTTGGGGGGACATCTAGATATAAACCATAGATAAAAACATAGTATATATAATAAAGAAATTCTGTCATTTTTGACAACATGGATGAAACTGAAGTTCATTATGTTAAGTGGAATAAGCCAGGCACAGGAAGACATATAAAGGATCTCACTCATCTGTGGAATCTACAAAAGTTCATCTCAGAAATGGAGCATAGACTAGTGGTTACAAGAGGCTACAGAGAGGAGGAGGAGGGATGGAGACAGGGTGGTCAACGGGTACTAAGTAACAGAACAGATAAGTTTGAGTGTCCTATTGCACATTACGGGTGACTACAGTAAATGTATATTTCAAAAACCTGTAAGACTGGATTTTGAATATTTTTACCATAAAGAAACAATAAATATTAGAAAAGTTGGATATGTTTATCCAGAGCTACCTGTTTTTGTACTTAAGACTATATAATGCCAAAGTCTGCTCTTTCTTATCCAGAAAACTGAACAACAAAATTTTTTCTCCAATCTACTTTTTGTAGAGGTTTACAGTCTGGATCACATAGTGAAGTAATAAGCGAGTTAACCAGAAAGCCCCCCAATAGCCTGCACCTGAACTGTACCCCGTTTTCTCCCCAGACTGCTTGTTCAAAGTGATAAGTTAACCAGCACCTAGCTTACCTTGTGGTTAAGAACAAAGGACAGGACATATTATACTTTGGCCCTAACCATAAAGATAGGAATTTCCAGCTGGATCCCAAATATTGGATTTTAATCTAACTTGCAAATTGCTTCTATACCCCTGTGCTTGCTCAAAGATGAGATCATGACATTCTATTGTGTGGTTTTTCCCTTTAAAAACTGGGCTTCTCTGCTTGACTGATACCAAGGAAGATGAGAGTGTGAGCTTGTCCTTGGCGGCCGGCTATAAAAGACTTTTGTGGCATGATTCTTTTCGCTAAAACGGCTATAACAATAGCAGGCCTATAGATGGTACCTTATGTTGGCTCAAAGACCTTATTTCATAACCTATCACCCTTTGCGTTACCTTCCCAATGGTTAGGAGAGTGACATACAATAGCCAGGTAAAGCAGGTTTTAAGACTTTTCAATGAATGTCAGTGTGATGGTCATAGCTGTGGCACACAAGGTTGACTTATGAGTAAGGACAAAGGATAAAGAGAGTCACTGGTCTGACTTTGTCAGAGCAAAACCAACATCGAGTAGCAGGATTCTGAGTTTTATGCTTTTTGTTAACAGGGTCAATTTAATTTCCATTAATTAGGCAAGAAGACCTTTTAAAAAATAAACTGTATTAAGTGGCTATGGGTCAAGAAGCAGTTTTCTTGATCAAAAATATCAGCTAAGAGTTCTACATGCTGTAACAAGTATTATATTTCTGGTCTCAAAGGTTTATAAGAGCAAAAGTAAGTAGCTGGGGATTTAGCTCAGTGGTTCTGCTGCCTGCCTGGCAAGTGCAAGGACCTGAATTCGATTCCTGGTACAAAAAATAAATAAATAAATAAAACTAACTAAAAATTAAATTTAAAAAAAAAGAGCAAAAGTAAGTAACCCCCCACCCAAGGGCTTATCTTCATGCCAATGGAAGCCTCCAATAGGTGCCCACAGGAACTCCCTGGGGCCTACCAGCAGCGCACCCTGCTTTTTCTCCCCATAGGGGGACAGTGCCCTGTTTCAGACACCAGAGCTTCCTACAACAGTCACTCTAGTGTTTACACTACTTGTTTGTTACATGAACACAGAAGAGAAGCAAATTTTAAAGCATTTTTTCTTGTCAGTTTTATTTAAAAAGAAAAATGTACATTTTCTTAGGAGGATACTGATTGTCCCCAGTTCTGAGAAGCAGTATGCTGATTTAAATTCAAACAGACATTAAATGAAAAACAAAGCAAAAGGAGCCCTGGGAGAAGAGCATCCCCTCCTCACTCTCTGGACCCATGGTCCAGAGACACTTGATACAATTGGGCAGGATCCGAAAACAAGTCCCTTCAAGGCTGCTGCCACCTATCTATGACTTTGAGAAATGCCTACATGGGGCATTGCTTTTCTAAGCAAACTTCTGGTCTCTGAGAAAGATGACCATCTTTCTTCCAGCACGTTTTTGGCCTCTTTGTCAAAGATCAGATGACTGAATGGATTGTTTCTACATTTTTTATTCTGCTTCATTGAATCTCATGTCTGTCTTTGTGCCAGTAGCATGCTGTTTTTATTACTATAGCTTTATAACTTCAAGTCTGGATTTGTGATGCCTCCCACTTTGCTCTTCTTACCGAGGATTGCTTTTGCTATTCTGAGTCTCTTCTGGTTCCACATGAATTCAGTATTGTTTTTTCCAGTTCTGTGAAGGATGCAGTTGTTATTTTGATTGGGATTGCATTAAATCTGTGTATCAATTTCGGAAGTATGTCCATTTTGACTATATTGGTTCTGTCTAGACAGGAATGGGGTATCTTTCCATTTCTAATGTTCTCTTCAATTTCCTTTTACAGAGTATTGTAGTTTTTATTGTAGATGTCTTTCACTTCCTTAATTCCTAAGTATTTAATTTTTCTTGGTGCTATTGTGAATAGTATTTTTTCCCTAATTTCTTTCTCAGGGGATTTATTATTTGTGTGTAGGAATGCTATTGATTTTTTGTGTTGATTTTGTATCCTGCTACATTTCTGAATTTGGTTATTAATTCCTAGAGTCTTTTGGTAGAATTTTTTGGTCTTCTATGTAAAGAATTATGCCATCTGCAAATAATAATAATTTTACTTTTCCTATAAAATCTCTTTTGTTTCTTTTTCTTGCCTATCTGCTCTTGCTAATGTTTTTAGTACTAGTGAGCAGGAGTGGGGATAGTGGACATCCTTGTCTTATTCCTAATTTTAGAGTGAAAGCTTCCAGCTTTCTTCACTTAATATGATGTTGGCAGTAGGTTTGTCATAAATGGCTTTCATCTGGTTGAGATAAAGTCCTTTTATACCTATTTTCTTCAGGGTTTTTTTTTTATCATGAAAAGATGTTGATTTTGTCAAAGACTTTTTCCTGTGTCTATTGAGATGTTCATGTGATTTTTGTCCTTGCTTCTGTTTTTGTGATGGATTACACTTACTGATTTGCATATGTTTCATCATCCTTGCATCCCTAGGATGAAGCCTATCGGGTCATGATTTATGATCTTTTTGATGATTCATTGCATTCTGTTTGCCAGTATCTTGTTGAGGATTTTTGCATCTGTGTTCATTAAAGAGATTGGCCTGTATTTCTCTTTTTTGGTTTGGTTCTTTCCTAGTTTTAGAATCAGGGTAACGCTAGCTTCCAGGAATAGCTTTGGGTGTTCTCTTCCCTTCCCTTTCAATTTCATTAGAGGTTGAAGAATACTGGTGTTGAATCATCTCTGAAGTTCTTATAGAATTCAAGAGTGTATCCATCAGAACCTAGGTTTTTCT